AGCGATGAGTGCGTCTCGCCTTTCGGCGCAGCGCCTTGTTGTTGATGCAGGTAAAGTCAAGTCATGCCACAGGTATTTCAGTTGCGCCGCAACTTACGCCATCGGCTGACGACGTAAGAGTCAAGAGTCGGGATGAGACTCGCCTCTCTGCTTCTAGGCTTCTGTTTCGGTCGAATCTAGGCGATCGGTGCAGTAAACGCCAGGCTGCTTTCCCCGAGTTGGTTTTTATGCTCGACTATTTTTGCTGAAATGCTGCAAATCGAAAGACGGGTCAACTTCCGTTCCTTCTTCTGATTTTTTTCTGCGGGTGATCTTTGACGTGGTAAGATAGTTCGACCGGTAGAACGGCACACTTGCAGTCGAAAGAACGTTAATTTGAATCCTCCCGAAGTCGGTGACTGACCTTTATTTAACCCTTTCGAGATAACTGTCACTCCGTGAGTGGAAAGCAGGCCGCACAACGGTGTAATGGTTGCTTAGGTACATATATTGCCTTCGGAAAAATAGGGCACTTCTTGTCCGTTGCGTGGAAATAAATATGAGCATTGCACTACATGCTCCATTAAGAAAGTTTATCACAAACTTCGAGTATCGGAGAAGCGTAACGAAGACCGGCAGTCTGCGATTGTGAGTTTTCCTTTCTGTTTGAGTAAGACACTATTTTATTCAAAATTGCATGCGATACAAAAGTTTTTGGTGCAGGACCAAGGTTTCGGCTGATGTTACCAGCCCTTCTCATCTGCAAACAGTCAGAAAGATATACAACGTACGGATGCACGAGATGGTCAAGATGTATTTGCAGTTGACTTTTTTTGCTCTTTGTCTGGAGATTACGCAAGTTACGCCGCGAAGGAGAGATATAAACTCCTTTGTCTCTGTTCATGACGTTGGGTCTTGTCTGGGTTAAGAATGCTTCGGCTACTAAGCGCTCTTTGTAGCTCCCAACCATTGTTACTACGGTTTGACAGTTAAAAACGATTCTGTTTTCGGTGTAAATGTGGTAGAGAGCAATCCCTTTCTGTCTCTTTCATTTTTTTGTTTCAGATTCGTGAATGTGTAGTGGAGGTGTCTCAGACTTTGTTACAAATCACCTGTTGCTACTCGTTACCAAACTGTTGTCACATCCTTCGTTAGTCAGTAATTCTTGCACCCCCTTGGCGTACTTGTATGCTTCTCCTTCGTCATTATTGTTTTCATCGCCAGCAATGGTTGAACAGCACGATGACTTAGGCTGATAGTTTTGGCTGATTTAAACGGTGACTTAGGTTGGGTTTAAGCATTGTTGGCATTCAGGGTGGCGACCGTATTTGCCTTCTAAAGCAGGTGTTGTCTGGCCGTTTTTCTTCGACATATCTGCAGCTAGTGACATTAAAACTTGTTTCACTCGTCGTCCTTGAAGTTTTCTCTAACTGATTGCCGTAAGAGTAATACCAGTAATTTTACAAGCTTCTGATTTCAAACGTTCGATGCGGCAAAATAAGTACTGTTCGAACACCAAATCGACTAGAACGTCGAAATCACAATCGAAACAACGCAGTCTAAACCGTTGCCAA